TTATTATTTAGGCTTTTATATATATATATATATATATATATATATATTTAAGTTTAGTCTTAAATTTTAATATAATAATAATTATATTTTATAGCTTAAATTTCTAAGGTTTAACTTAATTAATTATAATTAATTAAGTTAAATTATAAATTAATTTTAGATTTTAAACTAAAGGCTAAAATATAGTTTTTTTTTAACTTAATTATTATAATTTTACTAAACCTTTTAATAATAAATATAACCTTTATAAATAAGCTTAATATTAATATATAAATATATAAAAACTTAATTTAAACTTTTTTATTTATTTTTAAATTACTTAGTTAATTATTATAAATTTTAATTATTAATATTATTATAAATTCCTTTATAATTTAAAAAGAATTATATAAAAATAATTCAATTTTATTAATTTTATTTATTAATATTATAACTTAATTATTAAAATATATTATATTTATATTTTCATTAGTAAGTATAATCTTAAGATTATTAAGTTAAGTTATTATTCCCTAAAGTAACTATAATATTTTAATTTATATCCTAAAATATAATTCCAATTTCTAAGGTAATAAACTAAATCAAAGGGTTTATATTAGTAAAGAAAATAAAAAGTAACTTTAAGTAATATAATTATTATTAAGAATATAATAACTAATAACTCATTATGTAATTAATAAATCTATTTTTTTAATATTAATTATAAGCCTAAGATACTAATTAGTTTAGTAGTATATAATTAAGCCTTAGCCTATAACTTTTATTTAAAATTACTATAAAGGTCTATAGTTTAAATATACTTTAGCCTATTGGGAATATATAAAAAGGTTTAATAATAAAAAAGGTATTTAAATTCTAGTAAAAAGTACTTAGTTAGAAAGTTTAAATACAGTCCCCAATAGGCGCACGGGACCATACAACCGCACAGGACCCTTAGTTAGCAAAAGCCCGCTATAATAACTACTGTAATTTCTTTCTAGCTACCCACTATAACTATTAGGCTACTACTTCTATTTTATAATATATACTTTTTAACACCTTTTCTATAGCCTTTTAAATAGTATTTACTATAAGTAGGCAGCTGCTTTTTTAATTACCCAGGCCCCTCTTCTAGCTCTCCCTCTCCTAACTCTCCCTCTCCTAACTCTCCCTCTCCTAGCTCTTTTTCTAGCTCTCTTTCTAACTGCTTTTTTAATTTCCCTTCTAAATCCTTCTCTTTTAGCAGCTACTATAACCCTTCTAATACCTCTAGCTACTCTTCCCACTGCTATAGCTTACTTTTTACTAAGCTTAGTAAGTACTATAACTGCTATTAACTTAGCAGCTAGCTTAGCTATAGGCCGGGCTTAGTTAAGTAGTTATAGGTGTAAAATTAAGCTTTTATTTAGTATTAAATAGTTTAATTATTATTATAATATTCTATAAGATTAATTAAAAACTAGTAGCTTTTATAATATTAGTAATATAAATATAATATTTTTTATTAAGTAGTATATTTAATATAATTAAACTTTTAAATAATTTACTTATAATTACTAATTACTGCGTAATAATCTAAATTAAGCTCTAGGTTATTTTTAAATTAATAAATTTACTTAGGAGGAAAAGAGGTATTTAAATTTATAATAGCGTATAGGGTTATAAAAAAGATAGCTATAGCGGGCAGCTAGAAGGAAATTACAGCGGTTATTATAGCAGGCTTTTGCTAACTAAGGGTCCTGTGCGGTTACACAGTCCCATGCGCCTATTAGGGACCTTTAAATACGCTTAGTTTACTTAGATCCTTAGAATAGCTAAGTCTTCCTCTTAAACTAGGGGGTGTGTGAAGAATATAATAACTAATAACTCGTTAGGTAACTAATGGGTCTGTTTTTTTGTTGTAATAATTACTAAGTGCGTAAGGCTGTAATAGAATAATAACTTATGTTCAGTCTTGATACTTTGTTAACAACTGACTATCTAAGTATTCTAAATGAGTGTGTTGAAGTGTATATATATGTGAGGTCTCACTTAAGTCTCATGACATCGCAAGTGAGATCTTTCCCTTTTGGGTGGTCGTCTCTCTGTGGTCTAACTGCGAGTTCCGTGAGACACTTTATCATTGGATGCAGCGGGCCATAGTTATTCCGTAGGCTTACCCTGTAAGCCTTGCGTTCCGACCATAAATGCGTTAGGTCGTAACATATAGTTTGATATAATACGTCTAAAGCGTATCATTACTGAGGCGGTATATTTGCAATGCAGTTGGCATCGCACTGGAATGGCGGGTCACCCTTGCGAGCGTCATCAGTCTTCAAGGTGTTAAGAGTTTGAAGAAATCCAGTCAGAACGTCACAGTTCAGAGCTTGAACAGCTTCGCGGATCAGTGAAACAGTGGCATTTTCAGGGCCATCCAATGATGCGGAAAGGATATCAAAGCCGCCCGGAATGGCGGGTGTCGTGTATGGCGTCTCAGAAACGAGAGCCCAAGCCCCAAATGAGTCGTATCCATACCCAAAGACGGAAAATGTGTTACCAGATGGACTGTTGTTAATGGACAACTGGTAGCTGTTATCGTCATTCAATATGGGCGTGTTTATCCCCGCAATGCTTTGGATAGCAGATCCCGCCGGCAGAGTCAAGTTGAAAAAGCTGCCTACATCCAAGATTTGGCCGCTTGTCTCTCGAATGTAGGACTGCTCGTAGTCACTGAACAAGGCTTGGTAAACCTGGTTGGTGGTCCACTTAATGAACCATCTGGGTAACCTTTGAACATAATCTCGACCGGGGCTAGTCCATTGTACTGCGTGAGGGCAGTCCTGGTTAGGAGGAGTGCGAATGTGCCCTTCGAGGGCTGTCGGGATACGCGTAGAATGGGAGGATCCTGCATTGCCTAACGTTAATCGCAAGTCACTTAAGTTGGATACGAGGAATCTTACCAAGGCTGGCACCAAGGACAGTCGCGATAACTGCAGTCGTAGACTTCATTCTGCAAGGCCGACCTATTATCTTCTCAAATTTGACTTGACACAAATGGAGTTTCAATGAGCTGACTTTACTCTAAGACTGGTCTTGATTTCCACCATAAAGCTCTTGGACGGTGGGCATGATGCTTATATACTTCTTATGAGTCAGCAGGACCGAACCTTCGGTGAGTCTTTTGACAAGGGTCCCTGGGATAAATAATACCGTATTACCTCGCAAAATTCGCCTATGGATCGTTTTCCTAATGAAGCAGTTACTAGGGTTTAATACTGGGGAGATCCACAGGCGAATCTTCCGAGGTAATTCAGTAGTATCTTAGTGAAGGTGCTAAGGCAGAACTTTTGTATAGATTCTTTGTTAGCACTAAAGTACCTTTCTTGACTTGCACCATAACAATTTCAGCGCTGTAATCCCCTGTATTAGGCAGGTGACTGCTAAGCAGAGAGTGCCAATAAGTGCCCCTCCTTATTCTTATGTTTTGATTGGCTTAGCGTCATAAAGGAACATCCACTCTGCCTTAGCACCTTTAATAAAATACTATATTACCTTGTAAAATTCGCCTGTGGGTTAACTCTAAGATTAAGTAAGTATTTTATTTATAATATAGTATTATTCCTAGGTAAGAAAAGAGAAAAGAGGTATAAGTAAAATTAAACTTATATTTTTGCTAAGTTAAAGTTATAAAATAATATAAAAAATAATATAAAAATACTTTTTTCAAAAAATAAAAAAGTTATAATAGCCTAAATTATAAAATTTAAATTACTAAAAAGTGGTAATAATTCTTAAAAATAAATTATATATAATATAAAAAACTATTTAATAAAACTATATACCTTAATTAAGTAAAAAAATAATTATTATAAAAGCTTCTAAGTAATAGCTATAACTTAACCTTAACTTAAGTAAAATAACTAAGTAAATAATTAAATTTATAATTAAAATCATAAATTCATAATTTAAAACTTAAAAAAAGAAAAAACTAAAGCTAAATAAAGTAAAATATAAATTAAATTAACTAAAGGGTATTAAAACCCTAAGCTAAGTATTAAGCACCTAGAGCCTTTTATAAAGAAAAAAAGCCTTTAAGTTAAAGTTATAATTATAATAAAATTTCAGAGGTATTATAATTATATATATAATACTAGGGTATTATAGCTAAGTCTCTATATAATTACTATAAAGGTTATATTTATTATTAAGAGGTTTAGTAAAGCTATAATAGCTAAGTTAAAGGAAAACTATACCCTAGCCTTTAGTTTAAATCTAAAATTAATTTATAGCTTAACTTAATTAACTATAATTAACTAAATTAAACTTTAAAAATTTAGGCTATAAAATATAACTAATTAAGGTTTAAAATTAAACTTAAAATATATAAAAAAGCTTAAATAATAAAGTTTAAGTATAATATAAACTTTAAGTTTATAACTTATAGTTTAATAACTTAATTAAACTAAATAGGATTATTTTATTAAGTTATAAAAAGTAGTAATAATTTTTAAAAATAAATTATATATATAATACTTTTAAAATTAAAAAACTACTTAATAAAACTATATATTTACTTATTAAAAAAAATAACTATTATAAAAGCTCTTAAGTAATAGCTATAACTTAACCTTAACTTAAGTAAAATAGCTAAGTAAATAACTAAATTTATAATTAATAAAATTATAAACTTATAATTAAAAACTTTAAAAAAAAAAAACTAAAGCTAAATAAAGTAAAGTATAAATTATATTAGCTAAAGGGTACTAAAAACCCTAAGCTAAGTAAAGGGATTAAGAAAATTATTAAAAAAGTTAATAAAGTAATTATATATAAAGGCTTTTTTATAATTAGTTTCTTTTAAGTAGTTTATTTTTTATACTTAAGAGAAATAATTATTATATATATACTTTATAAGTTTAAGTCTTATATTATTAATATACTTACTTTTTATTATTTACTTAACTTATTTACTTTATATTTTATAATAATTCTTAAGCCTTTTTTTTAATTACTTAAGTAATAAATATAATAATTACTTACTTAAGTATAATTAAACCCTATATATAAGAAAAGTAAAATATAAATAACTTTATTAAAAATATACCTCTTATATAATTACTTTTACTAAACTTAAATTTTAAGTTTATTTATATTTAATAAAATTAAGTAATAATTAAAATTATTATTACTAAATTAAAAAATTTATAAAAATTATAATATAAGTAAAAGTAATTATTAAAAAAAGTATTAAGTAAAATAAAATTTATTAATATTATTAAATTATATAAGTAATATATTAATAATTTTTTTTAAAGTAATAAAAGTAAAATTAAAATTAAAAATATTTATTAAATAATTATTAATATTAATTTATAAAAATATAATAAATAACTTAGTAATTTATATTAAGTTTTTAATAATACTCTTAGGAAATTTAAAAAAAAATTTATTAAAATTTTATTTAGCTTAAATAATATAAATAATAATACTTAAATAATTTAAAAATAATACTTAAATAAATAAAATAAAATTTATTAATAATAATATAATAATAATTAAAATTATTTTAAAAAATAAAGTAATTATTTATTATAAAAAGTAATATATTAAAATTTTATAATTTTTAATTTTTTAAAAATTATAAAATAAAAAAAATATTAATTTTTATAAAAATTTTATATTTACTTAAATTTATTAAAAAAATACTTTTTTTATATTTTAAAAAAATAAAAAACTTTATTTTTTTATAAAAAGTTTTTTTTTACTTTATAAAATAAAATAAAATAATAAAATAATAAAATTTTTAAAATATAAAAAAAAAAATTATTTTTATAATTTATTATTAAAAAAGCTTTTATAAGCTTATATAAAAAAGAAAATTTAATAAATTATATATATAATAAAAGTTAAATAATTAATTTCTTAAATAAAGCTTTTTTAATAAATTTATAAATTTTAATAATATTTTTATTATTTTAAATTTAAAAATTAAAAAAAAATTTTTTTTTATTATTATATTTATAATATTTTTAATTTCTCCTAAGTATAAAAAATAAACTACTTAAGAGCTAAGATTAAAATAATTATTATTAAACCTTTATTTAGTAGCTATTAGCTAATAGCCTAGCTAATTTATATTTTCTCTTTTATAATTAATTTAAGTTACCCTTTTTTACTTTATTTATTCTTTAGGCTTTAGTAAACTTTCTTTAT